GTATTGAGGACATTTTTTTTTTTATGTCAACACATTTTACCTGCAAAGTAGACGTTAATTGCCTATAATTAAAATAATCAGTAATAATCTTCATTGTGCTGATATGATACTTGATGGTATTTATGACAAGTTTTTATATTTCCTTTCTATCTTCTCTTACACAGTTGTCATTGGCATGTTGCATGAAGCGGAACATGTTGTAATTCTCCCTAAAGGCCACTAGATGCCCCTGTTTCAATGCCCCAGTGTAACAGTCTGGTACACTGGGGTACAGCATCACAGTGTCGAGGCCCACCAGAAAAGAGGATAAATGTGATTTAAAATGTGGTTTTGAATGATATAGATAGAGATGAATAGTAAATAGAGATAAATAAAAATATAGATTAAGATAAATGTGAGACAACACCCAGTTTCATACCAAGGCTGGCCTTTCTTAGACGTTTAACCTTGTCTGGTCTTATTCTGTATTCCAAGATTACTGTCACTTTAAAGACACAATCAAAAATATGTAGGAGGAAATGTGCATGTTGTCATATATATTTTCAGCTGCACTGTCAAGTGAAGTGCCATCGTCGAGAGGAAGCAACCCCCCCTGCTCTAGATGCTTATCTATAGAACAAGATGATACGATAAAGATAGAGATAACCACAACAAATAAGAACATTTCAGCAGTATTCAAATGTTAAAGGTACTGTTAAAATAATTTAGCATTTTTAAGCCATTCGGAAGTAGGGTTGCGGTGGTCTAATGGATAGTGAGGTGGGCTGAAGATCGGAAGGCTGTGAGTTCAAATCCCATCTGCAACACCACCACTAGTGTGCCCTTGAGTTACATTACATTACATTACATTTAGCTGACGCTTTTATCCAAAGCGACTTACAATAAGTACATTCGACCAGGAAGACACAACCTTGAAGAAAACAGAATCATATAAGTACATCAGGTTTCATAGAGCCAAACATTTCAAGTGTTACTCAACTGGCTTTAGGTAAGCCAGTCCTTTATTAGTATATAAGTGCTTCGTTAATAGTTCTAACGCTCGAAGTGGAGTCGAAAGAGATGAGTTTTCAGTTTGCGCCGGAAGATGTTGAGTGAGGCGCTTAGCCCTCAGTTACTCCAGGGAGAATGTCCCGGTAATTGTAAGTCGCTTTGGATAAAAGCGTCAGCTAAAAGCTGGGGAATTTTGGAAATATTTCATATTGGAAACTTGGGAATGTATGGGAATTGAGGGTAATGTAATCGAATTGTATCATATCCAAGCATAAATATAAACATTTTGTTTTGTCATAAGAAGACATCCATGCAAACTGATAGAATAAAAAAACATGACATTTCAACAGATTTATTTGTAAGTAGAACAGAACAAGTTTTAATAATTGTATTGAACAATCATTTGTTTCATTGAAGAACAAAAACATGAATGTTGAATTAAATATTACTACTAGAAATCATCCGTGCTTGTGACGGAGGAATGCACAGTGCCTGTAGGGTGTGGTCTCAATAGCCATGCAGTAAGCAGTGTGCTATGTGCATGTGATTGAGGAATGGCATGGATATTCAAGTGTCCTTGAATGGCATCTGTTTGTTTTAGTCAAGATTATGGTAAAATATACTTTCCCAACTACATTTAAGTTCCCTACAAAGAGCCAACCTTCAATTTAGAAAATTCCCAATTTATTCCCATGGAAAGTTTCCATCTTTGAAAATTCCCGGAATGTTGCAACCCTATTCAGAAGCACACAGTATCGTCCTCCAAAGTTTAACCAATAGTATTTCTTGAATAATCCACACATAGTAATCTTAATGCGATTATGTGATGTTCATGCGACTGTGGCTGCAAGGGAGTGCGGTCGTCTTTCAACCAGAAGGTTGTGGGTTCGATCCCAGCCCATGCAGTCAACATGTCGATGTATCCTTGGGCAAGATACTTAACCCTGAGTTGCTCCCGATGGCATGGCCAACGGTGTGTGCATGTGAGGTAAGATACACTGCTCTGTATGAATGGGTGTGAATGGGTAAACGACATGTAGTATGTAAAGCGCTTTGAGGGGTCTTAAAGACTGGATAAAGCGCTATATAAGTACAGTCCATTTACCATTCATGAGTTTGTTCCCCAAATAGAAAAGCTATGTTTCCTTGTGTTGGAAAGACAATTTGAGGACTGAAAACTAAATATATTATCTTGGTAAGCTTACTCTTCATTTTCAAAATGTCTTCTACCTAAGCGAAGAACACTATTCACAATTCACTTGGTGAATCCTTGAAATCAAACATCACTTATCAAATAGAAAGAAATCATGGACATGGATAAAAACGTATATCATTATAAAACTAAATGTTCTTATAATTGTCAGAATCCCCCAATCAAAAGGTTGGACAAAAATAATCCAGCGCTGGTTTAATGTTCCCCTGCTATAATAATTAATAATATATGTTGCATAAACAGAAACTCTTAAAGAGCTAAAGACAAGCAGATAACTTACCTTCAAAATTAAGCACCAAAATGAGTATTATTGCCAATCGAGCCATCCTCTGCGTCTTCTTCTCTGGAATCAAACGACGATGTTTGAGGGCTTTTTGTGTCCGGTACAGAGCTTTCTGTCGATGGTGAAACTTCCTTTTTTGTGGTTGAGTTTGTGAGTTAATTATAATACTTTTTGTGAAACAGCATCCGTCCGCCTTTCACTGTTTAACCTTTCACTTGGAAAAAAAGTTTGAATGGGGAACTGAGGTCACAGATTTTCCGACGAAATGCTAACAACACATTAACTTTCTGTATCTGATGTGATTCAGTTAGACACTAACTTCAAACTACACTAAATCCACCTAGTTTCTTTTAACAATCGCAGGTACAAATTGGTAGGAAGACAAGGTTTGAAGAACATTTAGTTGAGGTGCACTAAACAGTGTATTAATTAATAATATCAGAAATATTTTCAAGATGATTTTATGTCTCTACTTATGGGGGAGCTGCTCAATTGTCTTCTAAATCGAAGATACAAGGCTTTTCCGTGATATTCAAGTGACTGTAAATAGTGAGCAACCATCAGGTAAATGACAAGACATTCAAAGACAGTAAAATGCTTTTATTGTTGTGATCAGACTCAGTTTATTTTGATTTGAAATGTATAGAATAATGTCATCTGCATATAACGTGATTCTAGTTCAACATCATAAAAAAAATGACTTGAAATCCAACAGCAGCTTCACACATAAATGAAATGAAACATTTTGAAACATATTTTGTTCAACAATCTGCACCAATAGAAATGTCTCCAATGCAGTTTAGGGTCAAAAGGATAAGGCTGGCAATATTCTGTATTTGATCATTGTCAATTTATCGAGATGAAGACACTGTATATACCCATAACTAATCGTGTGCTTCAAAGTCTGATATATCTTCTCTCTTCTGAGCCCCATTGTTGTCCAACAACTATCAATTCAAATCAAATCTCTACTGTGACATGTCTCCATGCTTTAATGTTCAAAAAGCTCTTTATTTCTCTCATACTGCCTGTGCTGCAGCACCTCTTCTCACCCTCTGTCTGAAACCAGAGCCCAGTCTGCTCTGATTGGTTAGCAGGCCGGCTCTGTTGTGATTGGTCAACCGCTTAGAGATGTCCCGCCCCTTAGCCTATCACGTACAACGAGTGCTAGCCAATACAAGCGTGAGTGTTACAGAGTGACGTCACTAAGTTATGGAAGTAAACAAAGGACAGCACATGATATTTGTTTTCCAATTCGACCTTGTGAAATATTTTTTGTTAACAATGAACAAATGTTAAAAAAGCATCTTGTAAACAACGTAAAAGTTGGCGGACCAAACATGACTTTTCGGCCTTGAAATGAAAAATATTTTAAAAACCTAAGAGAATTAGAATAGAATAGTTATTAGCCAGACTTGATTGAACAAATACATTAAATAACCGTATGCAAGACTAAAGTGCACTAAAACAGTTTGTGTTATAAAAACTAGACAAAGTCATATATTAATACATGTTTACAACAAATTTACAAAATAAATATTGTAAACCAAAAACTAAGAGAACAGATGTAACAGTTGCCATGTTAAAGAGTCTCTCTCTGCAGATGTTATGTTATTCTGGGAGCTGGAAACATGTTGTAACCATTTCCTGAAACAGCATGTCATTGAGCCATCGAACAATACAGTTTCTTTCACGAGTCATATTTAAAAAATAAAGTAGTATTTTTGGACATAATGCTGCGAAACCAGGATGATGGAGAGGGGAACACGTGAAGCTGTGTGATGTTTAAAGAAAGGGTAGTGGACATTCAGCTTGTTGTGTTGAGGTTGTTTCATTTGAAAGACCATGAACCGCTGCTATTGATTGAAGGATCAAATATAAAAAATAAGCCGAGAAACTGGTTGTTGTGGATGTTTTGATTGTGACCATATGTTGTCTGTTGTTGTTTTTAATTTGACTGTGCTGCTGCCTATCTTGGCCAGGACTCTTTTGAAAAGGGGATTTTTAATCTTATGGCGCATTTCCACTACAGCGCAGAGCTCGCTTTAAGCGTGCCGTGCCCGGCCCGTTTTTGGTTACGTTTCCACTTAACGTAGTTCCGGCTAGCGGGTACTATTTCATAGTTTTTCTGGCCCCATAAAATCGAGGTTCTTTCCGGGCCAACAACCAGGCAGAGTCGGGCTGAGTATGCTAAACTAGAGAGAGAATCGCTGGCAAGGGGGCTACAACTACAACAAGATGAACATATTTGACCGTGATTTAATTGTAATACACGTTTCAAAATGATGCCGAAGTAACAACATACTGATACCGGTTAGTAAAAACCATGAATTAATGCTTTGACAAGTCTGCAGACAGACGGCAGAGAAACACCTTTTAAAATGCGTGTTTTTCTAAATGTAGCTTGGTTAAGCTAACGTTATATATGCTCCGACCGTCCACACTCACAACAACGGCCTACAGACATAAATAAACCAGCGACTGTATTCTCCATGACACAGGCAGTCTGTGGTTTGTACTTGTTTAACTTCTGTCTAGTTTCTGAACAGATATGAGGAGCTGTGAGCTCTGAGTGCTAACAGCTAACGGCTGTGTTGGTTTTCTGTGGTTCTCATTGAAGATGACGTCACGGCTCCGCCTACACTGCGTTACTATAGTAACTGCCCCAGCTACTAAACTGTAATGGAAACGCAGCATAAAGTGAGCCTGGCCTAACGAGGCCTAACCATACCGAGCGAGGCCCTGTAGTGGAAATGCGCCATTAATGAGACCTCCCTGGTTGAATCAAATCAAATGAAACTACCTCGTCGGAAGTTAGAAACAATTACTTGCTTGCTTTATCCTTTGCTGTCGGGGCAGCAACAAAATGTCTTTGAGGAAGATTTCACAACCTTGCTTTAAGAAAACAAGAAGTGTCTTATCTAGTAATCACATCCAGTGAAACAGGATGTGAGCTTTTGGACACAAAAGTTGAAGCATGACCAATAAATACACATTTTCCGTCTATTTAGAAACGTGTTGTACCCATTTCCTGAAACAGCATGTCATTGCCACGAGCCATCGAACAATACAGTTTCTTTGATGAGTCATATTTAAAAAAGAAAGTAGTATTTTTGGACATAATGCTGCAAATTCAGCATCATTCTCACCAAGTAAGAAAAGGCTCTATTCTATGTAACAAAAAAAACTAACATACATCTAAAAAATAAATGAGTATCGTTTGTTGTGCTTCTCCTCTCCCTCTGCTTGCTTTGTTAGTGTAACACACCACAAGATGGCGTTGTCCTCTCGTCTGTGAGCTGTCTGGACAGAGTGTGATAGAGACATTGAAATCACATCTCAATCATAACACTGGGTATAAAACCTAAAGTTGTGCGTGTGTTCCTGATTGTGCACTGAACTCAGAACACTGTTTGGTCTGTTGTGGCTTGTGTATCGCAGTGACTACATTTCATCTGCAGATAGTTATTTCTCTGATATCTTCCTCAGTGTTTCGCTTATTGGTGTCCGGGATCGTTCATAGCAACACAATGGACTCTTATAGGAAGCTCAGAGATGCACTCCTGAAATCGAAGAGACAAATTCAATTACTATTCAAATGGTACTATTTTTTCGCAGTAATCAACGCGCGCTGAATTCGCCTTTTCCTGCTGTAACGTGCCCAGTTGGTCACAAAGAAAGAATTTAAAGCGGCTATCATAGATTTTCAATTAGATGAATGTATGGTAATTCAATATCTATCGCCATATGAGATACCACAACGGTGAAGTATTGCAATATTTATATATTAGCAGTTTTCAAACGGGCTGAATATGGTAATGTTCCTGGAGATAATGCTATTTATTATAATTTCCTTCTGCTGCAGCTTCGCATTAAAAGCATAATGTGACGAACATACATTTACTTATCATGTAGTCACAGGAAATGCCTTTTTTTGTCTCTGACCTTGATGCTTTTTATTCCAAATGTGTCTTCAAATAGTGGACTTTTTAGGCCTTTTTGATCAGCCGAAGAGCTGTTAATATATTTAAGGGAGTAATGGAAGAGTCAGGTGCAGCCCCAGTGACTGACTCAGGGCAAAGATTGTTTGTTTTGCTAGCTATAGTAGCTCCTAATATTCTGGGATGTGCAGTATTTGACCACATTTGCGTTTCCTCCCAGTAAATAGGGTATGCTTTATCAATCAGGACTGAAAACCGAAAGATTACCGCTTTAACTCGTATAGATCGATGTGCCAACAAGAAAAGCTGCAAATAAAGGAGGATTTCGGACCTCCCTGTACTTAAATGTCATAAATTTAGCACAAAGTTTGCATATTATTCTGCCGACTAAAAGAAAACGGGCACAAGCATTCGCAGCTACTTCTTGTCTTGAATATGCAAGCAGCACTAAAGTGCGTTTTATAATGACGGCATCTACCCGAAGCAGCTTGGAACCAAATGTGAGTTGTTCTCCTTCTTCCACAGCTAACATTACCACTGCCATACTTACGGAAAACGTTCAAATGAAGCCCCATGAACAACATTTACAGTAAGAGGATGATTCAAGTAAACTCAGGAGATGTCGGTTCTGTGCAAAACCAAACCAAGCGACTCTGTAGTTCTTCTTCACTGCCTCCAAACGAAAAGTTGGAGTGTTTTCTGTGTACAGCAAACGTGTGACGGCGATCTACGAACTGGAAGTCAGTCCTTGTTTAAAAGGCAGATTCACATACAGTAATCCAACTAGGAGCACCATGCTTCACACAAGAAGAGCAGCAGTAATCCTCTGAAGTCAGCATTCACCCTCAGCGTCTTATTGGTCTCCACATCCAGGGTTTCTAATCATCAATCAGCGTCAATAAAGTTCACCTTTAGGTCCTTCACATGTGTTTGATGCCCACAGATGTGCCCGAGCAGCAGGGAGACCTTCCTCCTCCTGAGATCCAGTGACTCAGCAGCATCACAGCGAGGTTTCACGGGAAAAGCTGACCGAGGTTTCAAGTTTGTCTCTGTTGGTTTTCTCTCCTGGAGAGCAGTCCTCGGGACAATTGGTAGGAAGCTAGGAAAGAGACGGAGAAAGTTAGATGGGGATCATTTAAACTAAACCTAGGAGAAAACATTCAATTCAAAGATTCAAGGCTTTTATTGTCATGTGTACATTAGCTACAGGGTAGTTATAACCAGGGGTGCACATAACTTTGTTGCCCTGGTTCTCAAAGGAGCACCTGGAGATGTTGCTTGGTGCTCATCCTTAAAATGAAATAAACCGTAACTTTTGAGGGGTCTTGACTTTATTTGCCAGACACACGGCACTGAACACACATGCAGAGGTGAACACAGAACACACGTGCAGAGGTGAACACAAGACAACATTAGCACGAGCAGTAATCCTACAAGCTGTCATCACTCCTCCTGACTGTTCTCCTCACTGTCTTCCTCTCTGTCAGACATGGTAGCTGATGATGTAGGCCTACTTCTTCCTCTCTGGTTGAGTCTGCACTTAGCTGCTTGCATCCACAAGTCAACAGCTGGGTTTGGGTCGAAAGTCTCTGTTGTCATCTTAGACAAGTGGATGTAATCAAATAAGTATGTGAACATAACCAATAACCTACCATAGCCAATAACAAATTAATGTAACTTATTTTATTTGTGTTGTTCATTCATATCTTATTTTACCTTAAAAAAAAATTATTTATGCATTTTTTTTTTTTTATCTCCAGTTTTAAAGCATATTTTTGGTTACTGTCCTATAGTATACATTGGAATGATTTCAAACCTGTTTATCCCAATAATTATAAAGGAGTGCCTTGGAAATATGTGTTCACATAAATTGTGACCAAACTGTTTGAACTTAGACTAAAGTGAACTATCTAAACACTCAGAGTCCTTACCTCACTGAGCTGTAGTTATCAGCCTCTCAGTCTGACTGGAGACGACTCTCCCTCCACATTATTGTAGAAACATCTTCTTCTTATATCCATTAGAGCAGCTAGCACCAGATGCTAATAACAACAGCCCTAACAACCCTTCCTACCCTCGCACTTTGGCTGTGAACATCCCCCATTTTCATCACGTACAGCGCCCATCGTACAGGGCAAATGAAACGTGTAACCGGGGTGAAAAGGGTGTTACATTTACTTAATTATGAATATTGTTACATCAAGGCCGAAAATTAGGATGAGCCCCAACGGTCAAAAATGTTTTTTTCCCTCCTAGAACTGCCAGCGCAGCGCCTCCCCGGATCTGGCGCCCTAGGCGAACATCTATAACGCCAGTGCTACGGGCCGGCCCTGAGTTCATATGCAACTCGCAAATATCTTTCTCTCTCTCTCCTCTCTCCTCTCTTTTCTCTTCTCCCTTCTCTCTCCCCCTCTCTTCTCTCTCTCCCTCTCTCTCTCTCAATTTTGGTGCGCAAATGCGCCTTTTTTCAAATGACCCGGTGCTCTTTTTTTGGCGGAGGTGCGCATGCGCACCTGCGCACCAGTTATGTGCAATGACAATGAAAATCTGAGGTCACAGGCTCCTCCAACAGTGCAACACAATAAAACAGATCAATTAGTGCAAGTCAATACATATAAAATATAGTAGAAAACATCCAAGTTATCGCTTTAAACTCTCCAATAAACTCTCAATAAACCTGACACAAAACAGGCCATGAAGTTGTATGACTCTCATTTTATATATTTATGTGATATTGTGATTATATCACCTTTCAAATTGTTCTTAAGAAAAATGAATATCAGTGCATTCAAACACCACCAGGTGGCGCCAAAAGAAAGCTAAGTTAAAATCCTTCACATGCAGGTTTTAGTGGTTGTAAATTGAGGTAGCAGTAACAGTTTTGAGGAAGGACACTAGAGCGATGACTCAGTAGGATGATGGGAAAATGACTCAGATTTTATGGTTCAAAATTGTAAAAACGTTCTCGTCTGAAGGGTGCAGGGAACCTGGGGGGGTTCTGCTGTTGGGGAAGGGGGATTCAAGGGGAGGAGGATTGTATAGCTTTGTTTGTGAAGAGGACAGATACACAAAGGAGACTTTATATCAGAGTGACAGGGGAGAGTTCAGGGAAAGAGGAGGAATGTTGAAGACTGTCTGGACATAAAGCCCCTCCACAGGGAGGAGGAACTCTGAACAAAGACCCTCTGAACACTGTCCTTTAAAACGGCTACAGAAAGGAGAGGGGGATACACTTTACAACTGGATCCTTACACTGGACATTTAGAGCCAAAATCTGGTATTCAGCATTCAAATCTGTATTAATACTAGGGATGGGAACGATTAATCGAATATTCGAAATTATTCAGGTATTCGAATGTGAGTTATGAATATCTTTATTGTAATTTCTTTTTTTTCTTTTTGGGTGGGGTGCCTAAGTTGATTACATATTATCAAATGGAATAATTCAATGTATACGACAGTGCCATAGCTAAGTGTGTCAGGTCTAAAGGTGTGTTTTGCTCCGCTCACCGGCCCCTCACAGCGGGCAGAGCTGCTGATCTCTCTCTCTCGCGTCAGGTTATACTTCACTCGCGTTTATGTCCAAGATTTAAAAAATGTATGAGGAATGTATGAGGAATTGATTAAGAATTTTAAATAAATGTGATGTATTTTGTGAAAGCAAATCTTGAAAGTCAACAAATGTAAAAAATTGACTAAAGAGTCAAAATGTTTTTGTGTATTTTGTGTTTTCATGTACTTACAGCTTGCAGGCGGTTGTTTTCTGCTCCCATGTTGACGCTGTGTCTTTTCAGATCTGACTTAATAAAGGCTGAAACATAAAACGAGGAAATTACATTTACATTTCAAATAGAGAGTACATTACATACACAAATACACACACACCATCACTTCAGGGGACATTACATTGACTTACATGCATTTCCTGGAGACTTATCCTAACCTTAACCATTAAGGGAAGCCAGTCCCCACACGTGACTGTGTAAACAGATTTAGGTCCCCACAAGGATATTAATTATACACACACACATACATACACACACACACACAGCATACCAGTGAGCAGTATTCCCAGAGAGATCCAGGCGCAGAGGAACAGGTTTCCGATCAGAGGACTGCGGTGTGTCAGTTGGCCCTGAATCAGAGTGAAGACGATCCCAAATAACTGCAAACACACACACACACACACACACACACACACACACACACACACACACACACACACCACACACACACACACACACACACACACACACACACACACACACACACACACACACACACACACACACACACACACACACACACACACACACACACACACACACCACACACACACACACACACACACACACCAATTGTAGTGAGTGTTGCTTGACAGAGAGGAGGATAAACAAAGGATTCTGACTGTGATAGAGTTCACTGTGCGATACCTGAGCGAAAGCGTTGAGGAGTCCCGAAGACGTCCCCTCAGACTCGGGGTAAGTGATCTCCACTCCGAACTCAAAGCCCAGCGGCAGGTACCCCGTCATGAAGAACCTGACACACACACACACAACACACTGATAAACATCAACAAACAACAACAACCCAAAGAAGTAGTCCATGGCGATGTAATCTGAGAGCCAAGGGTTTTTTCAACAACGCTCAAATGCATGAAAATATCTGTTTCGATTGTATCTTCTATTATAGTATTTTTTTTCCATCTCTATATATTTATTTAGGTGCTTTTAAACTATATTACATGTTTGTTTTTATTAAAAATAACCTTATTAAATAAAAATACAAATGTTTTATTTTATTTTTAACATGTTTATATTTCAAATCAGGAGTTATTTTAGGAGTTGTACAACTGAAGGAATATTACACAAATCCCATTCAATACGTAATATATTATTACACAATTAATATAAATGATTACATTATTTTGTCATTTCATTTTCATTTGGTTTCTTACGGTTTTAGCCATCAACATAAACTTGTACTGTAGGCTGTGAAGCTCAGTAATAGACAAACAGTAAAGCATGACGAAGGGATCGACTAATACTCATTGTGCAGAGTGGTTGATCTTCTTCTTTATGAGATCCAGGGAATAACTGGAGCTGATTTACGAGCCGACGTAATTATTCCCCCGCCCTTGAATCACTATGGAACACTTGCCCTCCTATTGGCTAGGGCTCCAACACATTGTACGTGTACGTCTAAGCGGTTGACCAATCACAACAGAGCCGGCCAGCTAACCAATCAGAGCAGACTGGGCTCTGGTTTCAGACAGAGGGTGAAAAGAGGTGAAAAATAAAGAGCTTTTTGAACATTAAAGCATGGAGACACTACATACTGATATACACCTGAACATCAGCAGGAGAGGACTCTTTAAAGTAGATACACTACATACTGATATACACCTGAACATCAGCAGGAGAGGACTCTTTAAAGTAGAGACACTACACACTGATATACACCTGAACATCAGCAGGAGAGGACTCTTTAAAGTAGAGACACTACATACTGATATACACCTGAACATCAGCAGGAGAGGACTCTTTAAAGTAGAGACACTACATACTGAGATACACCTGAACATCAGCAGGAGAGGACTCTTTAAAGTAGAGACACTACATACTGATATACACCTGAACATCAGCAGGAGAGGACTCTTTAAAGTAGAGACACTACATACTGATATACACCTGAACATCAGCAGGAGAGGACTCTTTAAAGTAGAGACACTACATACTGATATACACCTGAACATCAGCAGGAGAGGACTCTTTAAAGTAGAGACACTACATACTGATATACACCTGAACATCAGCAGGAGAGGACTCTTTAAAGTAGAGACACTACATACTGATATACACCTGAACATCAGCAGGAGAGGACTCTTTAAAGTAGAGACACTACATACTGATATACACCTGAACATCAGCAGGAGAGGACTCTTTAAAGTAGAGACACTACATAATGATATTAATCTAAACATGAGAAGAATATGTCCTTTTTAAATCAAATTTGACAGACTTACCCCAGAGCTCCAGCAGTGAAGAAGACCAGGAGGATGTTGTCGAGGTTCAGAGTGAAGGTGAACACGATCATGCCCAGAAAAGACAGGAAGTACACGATCAGAGTCGTCATCCTGTAAAACACATCACACACACTCAGTTATTTCATTACTCTGATTGGCAGTCACCAATCAGGGATAAAGTGCTCCACTCCTGATCATCCTCTGCATGTCAGGGTATGATTTATTTCCCTCACACTTGATCTGACCCGACAGGTTTGGTTGGGACGGGATTAAACGCCCTTCAACTTAAGTGTCTCACGTTTTATTTCACTCCTCATCAACCTCCCAGCTGTACGACTTGTTTTGTTCTCAAACGAGCGTAAGACACGTGAGACAAATCGTTGATGAAGCTTTAAGGGAAGTCTCAGTATATCTCAGGATTTCATTGATTCCAGGGAAGAAAAACCACCCAAAATTATCTGGTTTGTTATATAGAAGATATACATTAAGCATTTCAATAAATCCTCACAGGAGAAAGTCACAAGAGAGACCTTAAAACAAGCTCTGTTGTAGCATCAGAAAAATACATTAATGCAGGGAGTTTTATCCAACTGGCTGTATCCTTAAAAAAACAAGAGTCTATAGTTAATTTGGTTGTTAATATTATAGATTGTGGTCAAAAGTAAAAGAAGGCTCCCTCCTCTCTTTGGGATATCACAAACACATTCCTTGCCCCTAGAAGCTCTGCTATGTTTAACAGAGCCTTCCCCTCTAGGTCTGCATTAGAAATGTAAACAGATCAAACACCCAACGTTGTAATAGAGAACGGCAAAGGATCAGGAGGAAAAAAACACTGAATTTGTCCATAAGATGTTTGTTTATAAGTATGTGCAGTTGTTCAAAAGAAAATATAAATGTACTGTAGAGATAGAGATTGTATTCGAAGTTTGGCAAAATATCAACAAAACTTATTTACAGAAAATCATCAGATCAGAAATCATTTTAATGGTATAGCGAATATAATCTTCGAAAAATGACTGCATTGCAAAACACGTTCAATGTTTAACAAAAGTTGGGAAGATTAAAGTGTGTGCAGGTGTTTCCTACTTGTATGTCTTGGTGTAGTCCAGCCAAAGCCCGCAGAGGACGGAGCCGACCATCCCAGCAACAACCAGAGTCAAACCAATTCTCCCAGCATTCAACTCCTGGTTCTGAGGAGGGGATATAGGATATGTTATTAAATTGTTGCAGTGTCAGTGATGATGTATTTTTTAAGGCAGACAAGTTAGCATTGCAAGGGTTCCTTTCACAAAAAGTCAATGGGATTTTTCGATTGGCTTTTGGATTATTGCAGAAAATAATGTGGCAAACACATATTTATATTCAGCAGGATAATCTCCACATATAAACCACGTTATTACTTTTTAAATAAAAAGCTAACATTAGGCAATAAAGCAACTACAGCACAGTCACATGACTTCACGTCACCACCGCTAAGCTAAAGGCGGCTAATGTTGGGCTATAAAGGAACTACAGCACGGTCACATGACTTCACATCACCACCGCTAAGCTAAAGGCGGCTAATGTTGGGCTATAAAGGAACTACAGCACGGTCACATGACTTCAGGTCACCACCGCTAAGCTAAAGGCGGCTAATGTTGGGCTATAAAGGAACAACAGCACGGTCACATGACTTCACGTCAGCACCGCTAAGCTAAAGGCGGCTAATGTTGGGCTATAAAGGAACTACAGCACGGTCACATGACTTCAGGTCACCACCGCTAAGCTAAAGGTGGCTAATGTTGGGCTATAAAGGAACTACAGCACGGTCACATGACTTCACGTCACCACCGCTAAGCTAAAGGCGGCTAATGTTGGGCTATAAAGGAACAACAGCACGGTCACATGACTTCACGTCAGCACCGCTAAGCTAAAGGCGGCTAATGTTGGGCTATAAAGGAACTACAGCACGGTCACATGACTTCAGGTCACCACCGCTAAGCTAAAGGTGGCTAATGTTGGGCTATAAAGGAACTACAGCACGGTCACATGACTTCAGGTCACCACCGCTAAGCTAAAGGTGGCTAATGTTGGGCTATAAAGGAACTACAGCACGGTCACATGACTTCACGTCAGCACCGCTAAGCTAAAGGAGGCTAATGTTGGGCTATAAAGGAACTACAGCACGGTCACATGACTTCACGTCAGCACCGCTAAGCTAAAGGCGGCTAATGTTGGGAACACAGACTTTTTTTCAGGCCAACAACCAAAACAAAACCCATTGACTTCAAGTTGAGCATCAGGAAGGGCTAAAATGCTGACTAATTTCTGGGTTTAGGCCTCATCCACTCCACAGAAGCCTCAGTGGGAAAAAAGCTGATTAAATTATTTTTTAATAACACTCAGATCAAATCTTACAGGTGGACTATAAGCCACTCACATGTTCTGTACGTGTGTGTATTTGTGAGAGGGGTTTGGGGGAGTCCCGGATTTGCAGTGTTTCTGGTGGGAGAGGGCGGTGAAGTCATCTGACAGTTCAGCTGAGAGAGTTTTATAAGTTCATGCAAGGGTGAACTGCTGTAAGATTGTGTAAAAGGGACAGGGATGGGGTCTATTTCTAAGTAAAGCAGAAACTGGACAAGCATCAGCCTCACTGTCAGCAGTCATTGTGTGTGTGTGTGTGTGTGTGTGTGTGTGTGTGTGTGTGTGTGTGTGTGTGTGTGTGTGTGTGTGTGTGTGTGTGTGTGTGTGTGTGTGTGTGTGTGTGTGTGTGTGTGTGTGTGTGTGTGTGTGTGTGTGGCGACAGCGTTATGGTGGGCAGCAGGCATGCATGAAAATCTCATCGAGGCCATCAGAAGTGTCTTTGTTCTTTCTGTCTCTTTTTCATCTCTACATCCAGTTTCCACTCACTTTTTTTTACTGTACATTTAAAATAAGAATGGAAAAACTATAATTAATACAAATCAGCTTAATGGGGCGAAATGGTTCAAGCATAGCTGGGGTGGAAAGGGTGTTAAACACAAAAATTGGAAGCATTGAAGATGAACCTGCATTTTGGAACGGATCCAAATTGTTATAAAAACAGTTTTACTTATCGAAACTTAGCTACGTTGTTGGACCTGCTTTGTATCTGCAATGTTTCCCTTTGTATATATACATAGTCGTTAAATGCTCATGATGTAGCATCACCCATCTCTTTCTGTGTGAGTACAATGAAAAGCAGAGTCACATTCTTTGGAAGTGCGCATATGCTGGTCAATAAACTAATAAAAAGCAGTTAAAAACTCTTGTAAAAGGTTGCAAGTGCACTTTAAATGATGATGCCATTTAGATAATTGACAGACATAAATAAGAGAATTCTTTAAGAGGAAGGTGAAAGAGACAGGAGAGCGGTCAAGAAAGATGATTAACTGCCAGCTTTGTGTTAGTGTGTGTTTTTACCTTGTAGCAGGCCATGATCATCTGGTTGAGAAGTGTTGAGACAGAGTAGTAGGAGCCAGTCATTATACCTGCGGGCAAAACACAAATAGAGTGCATCCATTAGGGTTATAACTGAGTTTGAAGATAATGAATGTGTCTGGTTCAGTTTTCTAAATCTAATTCTGAATGCAAAAACAGCCCAAAGCTTAAAGGTTTAATGTAGAAAAGTTGGTTTTCTAAAGATCATTGTCACTGTTCTCCAAAAAAGACGCATGCATTAATGTTATTAAAGAGTGCATGTGTTGTAGGGCTTAACGATTAATCGATTTTAAATCGAAATCGCGATTTGAAATGATGCGATTAACAAATCGCAAAGACTGCGATTTTTTTAAACTTATTTTTTATTTTATTTTTTTACAATTTTATTTTTTTTACAATTTTATTTTTTTCTTTCTTGTGTGTCAGTCATCCCCACCAATCAGAAGTGCTGTGCTCCACATGTACCAGCCATTGTTAATCAATCAGAAGTGGCCCATGATAGAAGGTGATAGATAGATTGATCCAATCACCTGCCCTTTCCAAATGGCTTCCAATGGAGCTTTAGATGGTTTGGTGAACCATCAGAGTCAGGTTAGCAATGCTCCATCACATGTTTCTATTACAGGGTGAATCTTAAACTGAAGCTTGACTTTAAAGCAACCCAACGGAAGTTTCATGTAAGTTTAGTTCTTTCACTCGTAGCTCGGGCTGCGGGGTGCTAGAGACGGGAGCACGTTGATGCGACCTTCCTAGCCGGAGATATGGCCGCATTTTACAATAAACTTCCGTTGGGTCGCTTAAAAATAAATATCGCAATTCGAATCGCAATATTTGTCAGAAATATCGCAATTAGATTTTTCCCAAAATCGTGCAGCCCTAATGTGTTGGCATACAAGTATATCTGCTGGTGTACCCTTGTGATTTTGTGTATTTCAGTTGTTAAGTCAGTGCTAATGAGGGTACATGAATACAACATTATGACATTTTCTTTAAGTAGGCTAGTGAAAAGCTGAACAAAAATCAGCTCGACAGTTGATACAAACAATGTATACACTGAGGGATTTAAACAATGAGAACACTGAAAAAGAGGTTGTTAAGGAAATCAAGGAGTTAGCCTTCTTGTCTCCTTTTAATCTTGTAATAATCGTGTACTAGTGGAACAATGGTGGCGGGTACAGACAAGTTCATGAGCCAAAGCGAGCAATTCAATTATCCTGGAAACAGGATTTTAGCTGGGTATGTTAGAGAATGTGGGCAAAAACATCCAGTTAAATTGGCCTAAAAACAGATTTAACATTACAATTAACTTTGGCTATTTGATCACTGCTAATAAATACAACTATTTGTTTAAAGTGGAACGTAATTTTTTTACTTTGGACAAGTTATTGAAACAATGAACCCTGTCAAAGAGAGTTTGGTGTGTCACACATGGAGTAGTCACATGAAACATTAGATGAAACATGTACTATGTTTAGAAAAAGTTCTCAAGCATGCCTTGGAAAGCAGAAGGACTTCATTTTCCTCATATTGTGTGCAATCCTACCCTACTGTAGTTTCCTTATGTCTTTTCAAGAGTTCAGACCATAAAGTACTTGATTAGAATAGATACAAAACAAATGTTCCAATTAATCTGGTGGTGGTTTCTTCTCTTACCGTAGCTGACCAGCAGGAGGACGAATGCTTTGTTCTTCATCAGGTTGACCATGGACTGTTTGTAGGAGTAATCTTCACCTGGAGAGTCTGGGAGGACAGCCTGAGCATGACTGGGCGGCAGGGGAGGCCGGTCCCTTATCACTGAAGACAGAAACACAGTTTGGGTTAATAGAAAGTAGTTTTATAATCAGGCTATTACGTTATCATTATATTAAGGGCATAACATGGTCTTAATGGGGCTCTATTCCGCTGATGTTCAGGTTCATATCAGTATGTAGTGTCTCTACTTTAAAGAGTCCTCTCCTGCTAATGTTCAGGTGTATATCAGTATGTAGTGTCTCTACTTTAAAGAGTCCTCTCCTGCTGATGTTCAGGTGTATATCAGTATGTAGTGTCTCTACTTTAAAGAGTCCTCTCCTGCTGATGTTCAGGTGTATATCAGCATGTAGTGTCTCTACTTTAAAGAGTCCTCTCCTGCTGATGTTCAGATGTATATCAGTATGTAGTGTCTCTACTTTAAAGAGTCCTCTCCTGCTGATGTTCAGGTGTATATCAGTATGTAGTGTCTCTACTTTAAAGAGTCCTCTCCTGCTGATGTTCAGGTGTATATCAGTATGTAGTGTCTCTACTTTAAAGAGTCCTCTCCTGCTGATGTTCAGGTTCATATCAGTATGTAGTGTCTCTACTTTAAAGAGTCCTCTCCTGCTGATGTTCAGGTTCATATCAGTATGTAGTGTCTCTACTTTAAAGCGTCCTCTCCTGCTGATGTTCAGGTTCATATCAGTATGTATAACACACTACAGGAAAGGGAAAACTTCAAAAAGCACATCATAATTAAATGATATGTTTATCGCAATGTTTAAACATCTGCTCAACAAGAGTACTTATTATGACAGGACGAGGCTTGCATGTAAATAAAAAAAAACGTCCAAAACATTTGACCCACTTTCATTAAATGCTAATGCATGCCGTCTTCCCTACATTACCACAAGTTCCACTGAAACTGTATCCGTTTTAGAGTCGCGGCATCCGTTTGACTCTAAGGTCAGGTATCAGTATGAAAATCAAAAACACACCAAACTGTGCTTGAAATGGATCATCTATACACATCATACCTACTTTTATTATAGTCAAATGTAAGTAATTAGCTGTGTGATAAAGTAATGAGGGTTGCCAGTGCAATTTTCCATATCCAAAACTGAAGAAACCGGTCTAACATAAGCCCCAAGGTCCCCGCCGGCGGTACTTTAGTTTTTTTTTTCACGACACTGTGTCTCAGGGGATCTTAATATTTAAGAACATATTAATGTGTTATACCAGATTAACGGAAATAATCTCAGCTAACTGACGATACAAACCATTTTTACCGGAAAAAAACACAAGTCTCATAAGAAGCATCTAAATGACCCCGGAGCGAAAAATGCTAACCTATTACTGCACCGATAATCACTCCTAGCTCCCTTATTACTTATCCTAGGTGCATATCCAACACATCGTTTATGATCGCAAGGAGACACAGAATCTAACGTTGCCCACTTCAACACTGAAAGATACAAACTCGCGACGTTATCAACAAAAACGTACATCAAAACAAGTGGCGCTAGGTAGCCCACGACGCTAACATGGCTTACCTTCGTCTTTGTCTGGTCTAAACTGGTCTTCAATGGCATTAAAACGATACAAACGATGCTGTAGTTAATCCATAGGTTAATCCAATGTGACTGCGTCCCCTTTGAAATGTTCTGATAATCCATAAGCAATAAAACAGCTTTTCCGTTGCTTGATATCAGAGCAGCGATATTTCTCCCCTCTGCTGCCAGCTAGCTTGCGCAGAGAGGCCACCTTTTGTTTTTAACATGAGTGTGTGCGGGACGATTTCCCTTGGATTCTATTGGCTCTAAAGGTCAGCAAGAGATGTCACATGTTAAAATTGAACAAGGGGGGCCAGAGATATGGAAAATCCACCCAAATGACCCCAGAAGAGGGTTTTTTTGCTAAATCTGTCTAAAAAGGTCAAATATCACTTGTTTTGCATCAATGTTGATACAGGGTACTTATGATATGTTGTAGTTTGGATTCCTAAAGCTTTTAGTCTACTAACCCATCATCCAAGGTTAGTTTTCACCAGTGGTGTAGTGGGGATTATTTTATTGGGTGGACGGGGCGGGGAGACACTATGGACACGCTCGTGAACTGTCAAAGGGGGGGGGGGGGGGGGGGGGGGGTACTGTGTCGCCTGTCAGCGCATAGCGCAACTTAAATGATGCCGTTTAGACAATATAATAACAAAGGGACGGTGCCGGCCGTCAGCGAACCGATCCGGTCTTTCTGCGCGACTGTCATGCGGGACATAGTCTCAATTTGTGGGACGCGGGACAAATAATAAAAATGCACACACACGGTGCTCCACAAACACACACACGCATACACACACGCACACACACACACACACACACACACACACACACACACACGCTTCTAATCAAGTTGCATACATGCTTGAGCTACGTTTTTATTATAATTACTGTGAAATCTGCCTATTATGTTTTCGTCAGTATTACAACAAATACACACTTGCAACTGATAACACTGGCAATAATTGTATATTTATTAGACTATTAAAAAAAAATTCATGCTTCAAATAAGTGGGGGTACGGTGTACCCCCACGTCCAACGCCCACTGGTTTTCACTATAAGTACCAAATATTTTTTGGACGGACACTATAATTTACAGTTTTTTACCATGTCATTTTCGAGCCTGAAACCTGAAAAACAGGCTTGGGGCTCATCGCATTGTGTCTCATATTTTTTTAAAGCCAGAGGGAAAGGAAGCCAGTATAAACTCACTATTTCACTCTCTCCAAAACACCAGGTATTGTTCATATGTAAACACATTCTTCACTATAGGTCTTTCCCTAACATAATCCTATTTTAGTCCTAATCCTGAACACAAGTCTTAATCCTGAACTTGTCACTAGGAAGTTTAAGGAGCAGTAAAATGTGGAAGATATCTGGAGAATGTACAACCTTGTGAGATCTAGTCGTGAGAAAGGCAGAAACACATAGAGACACACCTTTGTTCTTTTTCAAACGGCATGCTTCACCTCACATGACTTTAACGGCAATACGAAGCAACTGTAACACATGGCGACCATGAAGTAAATGCAAAATCGTGCAGCCCTACACAGCATGTATGTTAGTGTGTGTGCGTGTGTGTGTGTCTCAGATATATACAAATATATATAAGACATGTCTGTGAAGTGTTTTGCTCAAAATACCAAACAGATCACCCATTCTAGCCATGCCTCATATCCCTCTATTTCACTTCCTGTTTCAAAAAGGGCTGATTTGGGGTATAAAGCTTTAAAAAAAAAAAAAAGGAGGAGGGGGCTGAGCTCATGCGGGACCCGGCAGCTACTGTCTAAACTAAATACTGCCGTGATGAAACGCCATATCATGGATTATCAAGGATTATTTCTGAAACAGTATGGAGCTCAAAGGCTTTCTCTCTTGCCGGTTATACCACAAGGTCATTTCCTTTTTGTATCCAGGTTCTTCACACACATGCTCTGTGCAGTACAGGTTAGCTCTGAGTGTTAGCGATGCTAATGTAAACATGCACCGACCGTCCAAAACAGTCGGTCATCGTTTCTGATAGCAACATTTCTGATTGGGCCGTGGGTCCACATTTCAGATATTACGTCATATCGGACACAAATCTGGATCAGCTCCGTTGTAGCCCCGTTTTTAGAGATTTGAGTACAGAGGAAAAGAGAGAGGGTTTTATTTTCTGACGCTGCGTGAGTTCCCCGACACACCAGGGACACATATTGATGTATAAGAGACATCAAAAAGTGCATTTTGCATGATGGGTCTCCTTTAAGACACTGAGGCAATTCATAGTGCTTCACATAGGCATTTAACACATAGTACTAAAAACAAAATAAACACAAAAAGACAATTCACGATTGTGTGTGTGTGTGTGTGTGTGTGTGTGTGTGTGTGTGTGTGTGTGTGTGTGTGTGTGTGTGTGTGTGGTGTGTGTGTGTGTGTGTGTGTGTGTGTGTGTGTGTGTGTGTGTGTGTGTGTGTGTGTGTGTGTGTGTGTGTGTGTGTGTGTGTGTGTGTGTGTGTGTGTGTGTGTGTGTGTGTGTGTGTGTGTGTGTGTGTGTGTGTGTGTGTGTGTGTGTGTGTGCAGGGCTCGACATTATAAATGGCCCGCTGGCCTGGAAGCACTATTTAGACACCCCGGGCCAGCATAACGTACTTTCCACTTGCCCCACTAAAAATATTGCTTTAAAAAAAAAATGTCCTGTGGTATTGGTATTTTGACTAGCAATTTTGTTAAATTGTTTCGTTTATTAACGCTACAACATAGCGTTTCGTGAGTCGGTTGTCGTTGTTGGGTGAAGAGCAAACAGCTGTTTGCTGCGGAGGGGGAACGTGCTCCTTCACTACAGACTATCGCGCCACCTAACCATTCGCCAAAATGTTTTTAATACCACCGGTAACCGGCCAAGTGCCGGGCAAAAAACTATCTTCAAATAAAAGAAAGTTACCGGAGGAGTTCAAGGAGAGTGACAGGGACCATGAGAAGAAGAGGGAGAGAACGTTTCAGCCAGCTTGATCGATGGAGTTGGTTTCTAGTGGTGCAGTGACGCGTCCTAAAACCCTTTTATAATCTATCAATTAGATTTATGATTCGAAAATTATAAAAATAGGGTAGACATGTGAATATTATCCGGCTGAACGAAACGTGCATTTATCAAACAGGTTTGTTTTCCACAGACCTTATTTACAGCTATTTTCCAAAACCCTGTGGAGAAATCCCATTGCTTTTTTGTCGAGGAAACCATCAGCTTACTTCCTGGTTTTAGGACGCGTCACTGCACCGCTCTATATGATGCCAATATAAACAAGGTCTATTGCTCTGTACATCAATGCCGACCTATGCTGACAAGTAAGTGAAGAGTAGAGAATATAAAGGTATTGGCTATAGGGAAATGTCCCAGCAGATAATGAAGGTTCTAATCTATTACATTACATTACTAACTCCTAATGACAGGAAGGCAGAAAGCGCATTATACAAATAATAATACTCATAATAGCAGACATTTTTTAACAATGACTACAATATCATTATTTTAATAAACCAAATATGAACAATTGAGGAAAATGAGGAAGAACTGATGATTCAAATGCAACCTGATCTCACCAGAATGCGTGACTCCACCACGACTCCTTAACACCGCATTGCGTGGTGGAGTCACGCATTCTGCTACATTTACGTGTCGGCACCACGCAAAAAACCCCAATGTAAAGTGAATGAGGCTATTTTGTCGTGGTGCACACACGCATTTCTACAACGTCCTGCAGTGAGCTTTTATTCTATAAAACGTTTTTAAAATCTACTTTATAGCTTGTAGTAACTCACGGGAGGCTTCTTTTATTTTATTTGTATTCATAATAATTTTTATTTTTCGTCAGAATGTATTATGGTGCATTAGTTACGAATTTTTGTTCTCAAAAAACAGTGCATTGTGTGTAATACAACTGTGATTTTTATTAAATTAGTTAGTTTTTAAGGAAGGCCAGAGCTTCAGCTGGCTCCAATAGATTGTTCCCTTTAGTTAACGTTATTTAAAAGATAATGATCATGTCCCCTTTATTGTATTACGAGCGTCCATTCCCATTGGATAACGGAGAATTTTACACCCGGAAGTAAGTATTCTCCTTACTGTCGATTGATTTTACAGTGATATCTGAACTACTCATCAACTCAAAAACACCAAATTATCCTTGTTAATTACACAACATTGATTGATTTAAATTGTCTACAATGCTTTTGTATTTTCCCCCTTCGATTCGGAGAAACAAATATTTTTTTCGGAGTTTTTGGATGGCAGAAGACACTACACTACCCAGAATCCTCAGCTATCGTTTGGGACTACATGTGCTCAGCTTGACAAACCCCGTGATCAGTCCTCAAGCTCTGTGATTGGTTGACCTTCAACTGCATTCCATATGAAAAAAAACGTTTCGTAAAAGATAAAATCATACTTTATTCAGCAGTGCTTGCTTTACTCTTTGAAAGTCATCACATGAATGCATTGTAATAAATGGTTTGGCTGCATTAAATATTACACATCTATGGTAGTTCTTTATTTATCTACAGAGATCGGGCCTCAGAATAGACCGGAAACTATTCTTTTACCGTTCTGTTTTAATTTCACAATAAAGTTAGTAGTAATAATCTGTTTTGATATTATTGTTTTTTATTAACTACTAGACCGCTGGGTCAGACTGTTAAGACCATCTTTTCTGTGTTGCTGTGGGTTTTTTCCATCGCTTTTGTGTTACAAATATAAAAACAATAACAAAATATATCCGTCGTAAACTAAACCGGAAACAGCAGTATATTTTATTTTGTTAACACTGTAAACTTGACAGCTTTTTAACCCAAACCACCTACTGGTTAAAGCACGTTATTACACGTTTGGAGTAATTGCAATGCAGGTAGATTATGTTGCTTTTTAATGACTGTTTAAAAATGCCTTTTTCTTAATGTCTTTCATTTTTGTAAAGCACTTTTGAATGTGTTATATTTGATGAAAACATTTAAATATTAAGAGTACATACAAAATAGTGGGAAAGTAGAAGGTCAATGATATAAATATAGAATAGAAAATATCAAGAAGATACTGTAAATAATATCTACACTAAAACAGTTTAGTGCCTGATAGGAGGATGTGCAAAACAGACAAACTAATAAAGCTTTATTTAAACATTAAAGAATACTTTAGACTAAGGTCTTCTTTTAAATAAGAAAAAAGCTTTGGGGGTATCTATCTACAGATACATATTAAGTCTGACAAAGTGCTTAACGTCTAATATATTGCATGGTTTGTTTTGGAACTTGACAATCAACTTTCCTGCAATGTTAACTATGTTGAAGCATTTATTTTAACCGATATTATACATATTTATTATATTCTTATAAGATGTTAGATAGAATAATAAATGTGCAGAATATGACAGTTTAATGGTGGAGGTATACACATATTGATAGATGTCTTGTAATGCACTGTTGAGGAACCTGTGACCCAAGTTTTGCATTCATTGCATAACTACACTGTAGTTGTGTATATGATATGTCAATAAACCTTAGAAAATCTTGAAAGGGATGTGCAAAATATCAATTATATACAGTCTTTAATTAACGATTAGAGAATAACGGGTAATGAATATGCTTTATACGGATCTGCAGATAAATGTTTAGTCTTCTCAAGCACCAACTATCAAATATCTCTCCTGATTGTTGGCACTTGACAATCACCTTCACTGAATTTTACTCAGGTGTAACTAAAGTCTGATTTAAGGGTTGTTTATATTTCACATCATTAATCCAAATCTGTAAAGTAACTAAAATAAATGTAGTGCAGTAAAAACACCACGTTAACCTTAAAGGAAGCCCTCAGGATTATAAAAGACCCCCATCACCCCAGCCACAAACTGTTCTGTCTGCTGCCGTCTGGCAGGCGGTACCGCAGCATCCGGACTAAAACCACCAGACTCAGGGACAGCTTCATCCCACAGGTCATACTATTAAACACCTGATATTTGAAACAACATCCATAACATTCATCTGGCTGCTACATATACATTATTTATCTAATATATCATATTCACAATGTAGTGACTGCTTTTTTGTCTTTTGTTTTCTTAGTTATGTTCTCTTTTATATGTGTGTGTTATGTGTTATGTGTAACGTTGCTAACTTCTTGGCCAGGTCAGCATTGAAAATGAGATTGTATCTCAATGCTTTTATCTGGTTAAATAAAGGTTAAATAAAATAAAAAAAAGATTCCAATCTGTATATAGACTCTTATTGCACTATTTCACTATTTTTTCTGTGTATCTGTTGTATTGTGTTGCACTGTTGGAGGAGCCTGCAACCTAAGGGGGGGGGGGGATAGGACACGTTCGATTCCTGTTTTGAATAGTGTGCCGTCGATGGGTTTCATTCCATTTCAAGGTGCTTTTTGAGCTCCGTGTAAACTTCGCGCACTGCCACTCCAACATCCAATCACAGAGCTTGAGGACTGATCACGGGGTTTGTCAAGCTAAGCACATGGTGTAGTCCCAAACGATAGCTGAGGATTCTGGGTAGTGTAGTGTCTTCTGCCATCCAAAAACTCCGAACAAATATTCGTTTCTCCGACTCGAAGGGGAAAAATACAAAAGCATCGTACACAATTTAAACCAATCAATGTTGTGTAATTAACAAGGATAATCTGGTGTTTTTGAGTTGATGAGTAGTTCAGATATCACTGTAAAATCAATCGACAGTAAGGAGAATACTCACTTCCGGGTGTAAAATTATCCGTTATCCAATGGGAATGGACGCTCGTAATACAATAAAGGGGACATGATCATTATCTTTTAAATAACGTTAACTAAAGGGAACAATCTATTGGAGCCAGCTGAAGCTCTGGCCTTCCTTAAAAACTAACTAATTTAATAAAAATCACAGTTGTATTACACACAATGCACTGTTTTTTGAGAACAAAAATTCGTAACTAATGCACCATAATACATTCTGACGACAAATAAAAATTATTATGAATACAAATAAAATAAAAGAAGCCTCCCGTGAGTTACTACAAGCTATAAAGTAGATTTTAAAAACGTTTTATAGAATAAAAGCTCACTGCAGGACTTTGTAGAAATGCGTGTGTGCACCACGACAAAAGAGCCTCATTCACTTTACATTGGGGTTTTTTGCGTGGTGCCGACACGCAAATGTAGCAGAATGCGTGACTCCACCACGCAATGCGGTGTTAAGGAGTCGTGGTGGAGTCACGCATTCTGGTGAGATCAGGTTGTTCAAATGTTGTAGTACAAGTAGTAATGTAGTTTGTGCATACATTACTATTGCAACAAATGTGTTCATTTTCTTCATTATTAGTCGATTTTTTTTGGACGAATGCTCCGGGCCAGTGGTTACAATGGTGGGGCCAGTGATAATACAATTCCACCGGCCCGGAGGGCCAGTGGAATTTTACCCTTAATGTCTACCTCTGGTGTGTGTTTGTGTGTTTGTGTGTGTACCTAGAACAGTGAGGAAGAAGAGGGTGGTGGAGAAGGCAGCGGTGCCGTAGAACATGATGCTGATGTTGTGACCCGTCAGCTCAGGATCATCCGGGGTGTTGGGAACTAAAACTGGAGGAAGCAGGAAGCCGATCGCTGTTCCCAACTACAACAAGAGAAAGAGAGAGACACATAGATTGTTTATTACTTTTATTTTATATATATATTGGTGTGTGCTATCATAGTACACATTTCAATTAAGCATGTAAGTATTTAGTGTGGTAAAAAACGACTTTGTCCATTACTCACTTAGGAAGCATTTTGTTAGGTTTGACTATTATTTATTATTTTACTAGTCTATTCTGCTGGCAGTACTGGAAGAAAGTAATAAAGACATATAGTTGAACTTCAGTGAATACTAAAATAATATAACATGTTCTCAAAATAGTCATTTTACATACAGAATACTCAGCTTTGGTTCTTTAAGTATATTTCATTTAAATACTTCTGTACTTTTACTTTTAAAACGCCAGACTTTTACTTGTTACAGCTTTTCTACACTCAGGTAATGTTACTCAAATAAAATACTTATTCCCCCTGGGGTAATATTTTGTATAACTGACTACGATATGTAAACACATGTTTATCGAAAGAGGTAAGCATAATAATAAGTAGTAATTATATATATATAATTATTACTTATTATTATTCTCACTCTATACATTTATGTTGCATTGTTGGAGGAGACTTGGGTACTTGTGGGTTATCTGTCGTCACTTTTTTAGTTTTTTTTCAGACTCTAAATACGCACTGTTTTTTAACTCTCTAAATAACCCTAACCCCTAGGATAAATGTGTGTTACAAGTAC